ATGAATGTACGATACGAGACAACAATGCCCCGACACTAATTTCCATGTTTAACAAATTATTCTGATCATGTAAACACAGGTACAATATACGTCCTACTAGTTTTTACCTCTGAAATCTCAGATCTACTTGGAATATTTTTGCAGCAATGTGAAGCGATCCTATGCAAGTAACCCTCATTACAAGGACTTGAGTCTACAAATTGAGGCCAAGACTCTCATTAAAACTCTCATATTCACGTCTACTTGCCATCAGTGTAACAACTTTACATATTTAAATGCACTTATATCGGGTAGCTTTGACACTTCGTACAGCCTTCCTGATCTATTACTGGAGAATTATGCTACTGTTACTGAAGTCCTTCGTTTTTATGTAAAATTAACCATCTAGCCTCAAAATAATGTGGTGTGTCACAAGGCATGTGAGTGTGCCAGGCTGTATGACAAAGCCTTAATGTTTTTAAAAGCATGCACTAACCAACACACACATATCATACTGATAAAACTAAGCAATGTTTAACAGCAGTGCTGGGTGACAAGAAATGCATCTCTACACATTCTACAGAGCAGGTTTAGCTTGCTCTCATACACAGAGTAAACAAACACACACACGTAAAGTAATAAGTGGCTTTATTACTGGAAACGAGGAGGAAAATGTTGCAGGCCTGAGAGAAAAAAAAGGAGGACATCAGACACAGGAAGCTGTTGGCTCTCTGGCTCAATACTTTACTACTTCTTTCTACCTGTGGAACTGTCTGCTTGGTCCTTCACCCAACGTCCCATCTGTCTTCTCTTCAGATAAATACTTTATGACCTGTTTGTTCAGCTGTCTTCACTGGTCATCACATTTACAGCTTACATTTACTACGGTTTTTTTAAACACTCAATAGGAGATTCTTAGAAAGACAATCAAACACACAAACTCAATTCGTCCCAAAGGGAAAAGCCATGAAACCAAGGTTAAACCTACAAAATCTAAGACATGCCCCATGAGAGTTCTAGCTAGGGATACAGAAGGGCAAAAACACAGAGAGGGAAAGACAGAGAAGGAAAGGAAACATGGCAGAGGGTATGTAGACAAAACAGAAAAAAGCCCTCAATTTCCTAAACGTCCCTACACTTGTATTCTCTTCCATCACAGAGCCGGACCACAGACGAATCCAGCCCTGTCACACAAAGAGAGCGATAAATGCACCCACAATTTCATACCACCTAAGGACATTGTTGTGATGCTAGTAAAAGCCAAGCCTCACCCAGTAAAACACATCCCATTCTCTGTAATAGAGAACTATGTAAACCCATGCAAAGGCCTTTCTACAGTCTGTGCTATTCAAAGCTATCAATGTGGGCTGTTGATAAGAAAATGCAAAGTGGGTCACCTTTAACTCCAGGCTCCTTGTGTAAACAGTACAGGAAGCTGCTTGGGACTCTCCTAATCACTCTCTAAACAGAGCCAGGTGCTGTTGCCACAGACAAACTGTCACCAACACTCTGCTCAACACAGCTGCTGTCTAGCCCCCAGACACTCACAGCACTGCAGGCTACCACAGCATGACAAACAGCACAACGACACCTGAAAACATGCCAACCTCGTATAAGTGCTCTCGCAGCATAAAGCTTCAAGAACTTTTAAATGGCAGATTACAACTGAAAAAAATTCTGTTCCTCAGAGCAAGATTTGCATAAGTAATCTCCTACTCTTATCATGTGCTGAACCATCAGAGACATGTAAGTCTGTGACAAGAGAGGATAAATCCAACCAAAGTCAGCTAACTCACTTCTGCCAACAACACTATATTTGTTCCTCTTAGTATATATAATATCTTGCTAAGACTTAATTTTCACAAACTGTGGTAGACAAACAAAGAACACTTTTTAGTGTCTCAAAACATTACTGGGCAATCAAAAGGTTTCTGTTAATCACTCCGAAAGGTAATGCTTCATTTAAAACAAGCAGAAAATAATCATTATCAGCAGGTGCTTGTTCGCTTAAACTAGGCCAGGCACAGTAGAGGTTTTCCTGATGAGGAAACAAATTGCATCACATAGAGAAGTTGCATTACAGTTAAACATAAGTAGGTGATTTAATACTCCTTGATGGCTGATGATCAAAAAAAAAAAAGAAAAAAAAAAGACTGTAGACGAGATCAGGCAGACAGGCAAAAACTGAATGCTATTAATGCAGAAAACTCAACTACTATCACAACCAGCAGAGTGTTTCATAGGTGCAAAGTTATTATCTTAAGTCCACCAAACAAAAGAGCCATCACAATTGCATAGTTGTGGTAAAAACAACAGGTACATTCATGCAGCAGCCAGGTTTTTATCCACCTTAAGTATGAACCAAGCAAACTGCACCGCCCCACCTCCATCTAGTTTGTTACGCAAAAAGGAGCTGAAAATGCTTTTCCAGTTTTCAGAAGTGCAGTCAGCAAATTATACATGAATACTAAAATACCAAAACTGTGCATCTGTGTTCTGCATGTCTATGTAGTTTTTATCAATAATGTTGGATTATTAATTACAACCTGGTTAAATTTAGATAACCCTAACCCTGCCCTCTCTATTAGCAATGACTGATCCTAACCCAGCAGCCTTGTGACATGATCACTGTTCTGTTTATATATATATTAATGTGCTGTAGTGGGGAAAAACAGACATGAAAATAAAACCCCTAACAATTCTGTGACATCACTACTTCAGGCTTTATTTTAAGAGCAAACAATTTGCAGTCCCATTGTAATAACAGAGATCCCTAAATAAATTAAAAGCAAGATTAGAAACTGCTTCTCCAGCTGAATGACAGGTTTTATAAGATGGAGAAAACACAGGACATCATCCATTCTGCTCTCAATCTACATCCACATGAATGAGTTTCATTTTAAAATGAAAACAAATCTCTATCCGAATGAACATGTTAGCATGAAAACATATACTGGAGTTGTCGCAAAGCAAATATGGCACGATGGGAAAGGAGTACCCGTGAAATAAAAATAAAATGGCACAAAGTGACCTAGCTAGATGGTTTTGGCTTCATTTATGTGTCTGATAATACCCATCAGGAAATGAAAGTAGCAGTTTGTGTCACTGGTTCCAACATTATTCCATTTAAGTTTAAATGTAAATTTAAATGTAGCCAAAGTTACTGTTTTTGAATTGAATTAAAACTTAATAATCTGTCTGTATCCTCAATTTTTTACATCTAATAAACATTTGCTGATTATGAACAGTTAATTAAAAGACATATTGTGCTGAAAGGCATAACATCAGAGGGAGTGAGAGCTGAATCTGTGAAAGCAGTCTAATTTGGACTGGTTAAATGGCAGGTTGAGCATGTGTTCATGCGGAGGATTTCCTGTATGAAACACAAATTAGTGAAGTGGTGACACCGGCTATCATCAGAGGTAAAAGATGGCAGTTGTAGGCTCACGTTAACCGCACTTGAGGAGTACTCCTAAAAGCACCTGGCCTGCAACCACATATCTAGCATATGGCTTAATCTGGATCAATATCTTGACTAAATACACAGTGAATGACAACCGTAAGATACATTTACATGATTTATTTTGATAGGAGTGAAACTAACTCTATACATATAGTGTCTGTGATAACCAAAATACCTGGGATGACACCATTTCCTGTTCTATTCTAGTGCCAACTGATGTGCCCCCCCCCTCATTTACTTTTAATTGTCCTACACTGTATTTTTTTGCCCTTTACCCTACTGTAAGCCATTTCTGGCTCTATTCTGAGAAGCCGGACTGTTTCCCATGTCAGTTACAATAAGTAATGGATTAAACACCTCGGAGTTATGCCAAAAATGTCAGAACAAAGTCATGACAGAGGGATAGCCATGTAGCAATGAATGACCTATCTCCACCACCAGTCAGCAGCTGTTAAAAAGAAAGCAGGAGGTCAGATTCCCTGCTCTTGCAGTTATGGCAAAGCTTATCAGCAGCAGCTAAAACACACAACAAGGCTCCTTCTGGCTACAGATAAACTCAACCCGCCGCACGGTGCGTGCAGTAAAGCCTGTTGCTTCACCGCTGTGTTTGCAGGCCGTGTTTTAAACCCAGGTTGTGTGACGAGACTAACGAGCGGTGTGTGCGTCTGTTTCAGTGTGTTCCCCACAGAAGAAAGAAAGAAAGAAAGAAAGAAAGAAAGAAAGAAAGAAAGAAAGTGAAGGAGCGCGTGGGATGTGGTTCAAGACGGTCCACCTGCCACGCGCACGCGTACAAACACGTACAGGGAGAGATCCTCCAAATGGTCAAGATGCGTTAGCAGTCACATTTAGAGGAAATGCCCCGAGAAGCAACACAGAAAAGACAACTGCGAAGGAGCCAAACGAACTGAAGACTGCGGATTAACAACAAAGTAAATCCATCAATACAGTTTTAAACAGGCTAAAGAGTCCGTGTCAAAAGGGTCTAAAGTGAGCGTAAATGGCTTAACGCAGAAACCCCGAGCTATGCTTTAATGGGCTAATAACAACAGTGAACCGGTAACAACGTTACAAGAAGTTCATTTGAGGGGGTGGGGGGTCGGCCGCTTTTCTTTAGACCTTCGGGTAATCTGCATTTTAAAACACGATTATATTAAAGTCCTTAATAACAAGTGAGTAACGATATATAAATACTGAGCGATATTAAAGGCTAGATGGCCGCGTGAGTGCACCGGAGCGGCTCATTTTCTTTCTCTTTCTGTTGCACTCACTCTCTCTTGTCTCTTTTTCACACATTAGCACGCACACACAAAAGCACGCGCGCGCACACCAGCGAGGGCTACACACACACACACACACAAACACACACACACACACACACACACACACATACATACATACATAAGGGCTCGGCACCGACCTTCGAAAAATAAAATGAAATAACTAGCACCCGTTTCCTCGATATAGTAACGACTTCCTCAACAAATCCTCGCCGTATGTTCGCTCGTATACACAAACAACCTCCAGGTTTGAAAACAGATTCACAAAAAAAATCACTCACCGCAAACAAGTATGGGCTATTCCAGTGTTTATAAATTGGTTTAAAAAAGGTTTAAAAAAATCTCCTTCCGTTAGCGGTGAAAGCGTTGATCCATCCTCCGTCGAGAACAGAGACCGTGCACTTTTGTTGTCACGCAGGAAGCTCCGACGCCTAGCGAGGCCACAGCGACGGAGCACAGCAGAGCAGAGCGCCGGAGAGAGGAGGAGAGAGGCGGCCGGCTGCCGGGAGCCGAGAGGTGGAGCTTCCGCCCCGGCGGGGGCCGGACCACAGGCACACAGAAAGACTGGCAAGGCGGAGGGGGGCGGGGGGTAGAAGCACCTGCTCCCTCCCTGTCACGCCCCCAGTCAACAGGGCTGACCTCGCATAGTCATCCCAGAGGGACAAGAATGCACGTTAAAGGCTTCACCAGGATGTAAAGGGTTAGACTACTTCCTGATCAGTTAAAATTAAATTCGCACTAAGTTATCCTGTGATTTAAATTTCTGTTTCGTATGTACGCATGCGTATGTATACTAATATCTAATCTTAGTATTAGTACCTTGAATAGTATCTTACGAAATAGACTGATACAAAATAGATCACTTAATTTAATCACATAATCCAATAAAAACAGATATCATTGCTCTTTTGTTTTGCTAATTACCACTACAGCGTGACAACACAGGGTACAGTACTCTTTTGCACACATCTCTGTTTCAAATCTCCATATTTTGTCTCATTTTCTGTCTTCATTTATTTATTTGTATTTATATATTCCATTTCTATTGTATATATTAATCGGCATCTGTGGGTGGACCGCAAAGAAAGAATTTCATTGCACAGAGAAATGCCTTTTCTCTTGTGACACATGACAATAAACACTTTGAATCTTGAATCTTCAAAGTAGGTAATTTAAAAATGAAAGTAATTCCAGCAAATGTCCACAAGGGGACAGCCGACCACAAAAAGCACACAGAAGCCTTTGCTAAAAAAAAAAAGCCTTTACCCCCGTCTGGCTTATCAATGGTTTTACTGTGGATTAGATACCAGCGACTGCACAGGCTGTAAAATCAAAGCCAAACTTGTAAACAGTAAAGACAGGGTGTTCTCGTGATGCCAAGGATGAAACTGAGGATTAAGCAGGTGATGGCTGGGGAGGGGAGAGGTCTGAGGGCCTTTTGTACTTTGTGGTGTACACTGCTAATTTAGGGATGCACTGGATCAAATGTAAGCTTAATTCCGTATAGCTCATTTGTGCGTACTATTAAACGGTAAAGCACAGCAGAAAAAAAGCACTACCCAACACGCATGGCGTGCTCTGTCAGGCAGCATAACCCTCCTCTATGAGTGAGCGCATTTGTGCACCACATGTCACGTCTTTCATCCATGTGATAGTGTATCATTCGCCTCTACTTGACCTGTAAGAGAGAGTGAGAGAGCAGGTAGACAACAATGCCGCACGGAGACTTCAGCCTTTGATGTACCTCCTGTCTGTTCAGCTCAGTTCTGCAGACACTATAAGGATCTCCTTTTCTGTTTAATTCGTCAAATAGACATTTGGGCATTAAAATCTATTTGCTGACTCAAAATGTTCAGTCAGTTAGTATTTTTTATGGTCTTTTTTTCAATCACTAATCACATATTAGCTATTAGACTTTAGTAATTTATTGTGATTAGTCATTGTTGAAAATGAATGAGTCATTATTAGAAGATAATCTCTGGCATCACAGTATTTGAAATATTCATAAATATGTTTTGTTCTATAACAAGCATCAGTGTGACTGCATTAATCAGTGAGAGAACAAAAGGATAATCTAATACATTTGAAAAAAACCAAAACCGTTTCTTAATTCCTTTAGTCACAGGCCAACCTATTAGAAGCATGCAGAGCCTCATTTTGATGCGCAGTTTAGGAAACTATGTGATTTTACATATACACGAGTTGGAAATGTAGCTTTTTTTGTGCCTCTTTCCGACCCACTGCATATTAATACAAAGCTGCAGTATTTAGCACACAGTGTAATTAACTTGTGTCCAAAAGAGTGTGAAAACAACTTCAAAACGCCTGCGCCATGTAAAACCTCCACCAAGTGGTTAAACGTTTATGTTTTCATCCACAGTGTCGGGTGTACACGAATACTTTTCAACGAACACACATTTGCCTTTTCTTAATTGCTACATCCCTCTCAGCTGTAGGTGTACTGCCGTGTAACTATGGGAGTCTGCAGGGCATTTCTGTTCTCCTCCTCCTTTCCTCTTTCACCAGCCTTTCTTCTTAACCTCCTGCACCTTCCTCCTTTGATACTAAACATCCCCCATTCCTACCATCCCTCATTGATTTGACTACTTGCCAGTTCACATACTCGCTCCTAACATCGCCTCCTCCTCCTCCACTTCTTCATTTTCTCTACAGCCTTTACTCTCCTATGCATTACTTCTCCTGTTTCTCCTCTCTCTGGCTCCCCATTTTGCTTTCTCTCTCTTGCTCTCTCCGCCTCCCTCTCTCACTTGCTCTCTCAGCAGCAGACCTGGCCTTAGGCATCGTTAGCTTAATTTAATAAAGGGGCTTAAGCTTTTGAGAGGCTTTTGAAGGATCTGACTGCTGTTACATTCATTACAATCTATCAGCCACAAGAGACACAGCCTTGTTGCATGGCTGAGAAAGGGATCGAGTGTGTGTATGTCTGTGTGTGTGTGTGAACATGTGTGAGTATGCCGGTAAGGTTGTAATAATATTTGCTGTAATTATTAGAGCTATGATGGAGTCACACACCTTGTGAACTCTCAATTCACTTCTGGTCTACATCGTAAAGTGCCTGCCTGTATGCACATGTATGGTGGAGAGTGGCGTCTGGTCAAAGAGCTGCCTACCACTACAAATGCATGCACGCTTTCCTTCCCTTCGGCATCTTAAAAAAAATAAATCTTCACCTCCTTTTTGAACTCCCTCAGTCCTACCAAACGACAAACGCCACAGATTCCCCCCCACCTCCTACTTCACCTCCATCAAGCTGACGACAAGTGGCAGCTCTTTTAGACTTCACCATAGGGAGACACAGTCAGAGTGGACGGGTTGGAAAAGACTTCAGCCACCCCTGTGGACATTGTGCCTGGGTCCCTTTTTTTAACACTGAGCTTAATATCCAGACTATACTAGGCTTTGCCTCCTACCTCCATCACCCACACAAAACCTTAGCAAAGCAGCGATCTCAGCAAGCACAAAGGATTCAGGAGAAAAAAAAAATCATCAGGCTTTGCATATGTCTGTGCATGTACAGGCATATGTACATATGTGCCTGTGTGTGAGAGAGCGAGAGCTGGAGGGCATATGCTGTACCTCTGGGGTGTGTGTTCCACATTCTTCCAAGCCAGATATTAAATTAAGGCGAGAGATGTAATTAACATGCAGATCAGATGCCACACTGAGGACAGAAGGGGTCTTCAGTCAGTGACATGTTAGACAAGAAAGAGAGAGTGATGGATGGAATGACAGATAAAAAAAGAGGGAGAAATACAACATGTCCCACATTATTTTCTTCAGTTACTGACCTGCTGTCAGTACTGCATCACCAGAAAAACAGAAAGAAAGTAGATAGCTGCAATTAATGATTAGTTTACCAAGTAAGTATTTTCTTCATTAACTGAATAACTGGTTGCTCTGTAACAGCATTTCAACAATTTGCAAATTATTCGGCAATTATGTTTTTAGGCAAATCAATTAAGGGAGTAGAGATTTCAGCCATTTTACCTTTATTTATATGTAGATGTACCATGTGTTGTACAATAATAGAAGATAAAATTGAAGTTTTACTCCAAACAGTATATAATATTGTAAAAAAAAAAATTAAAAATTAAAAAGCACAGTATTAGATATTTCTTCTTCTTCCTCTTCTCTAAATAAATAAAAAAAGGCTTTCAGACCAACTTTCAAACAGCACAAATCTAAACTGCTTGCATGTTATAACATGCTGATGTAGGCTGTTGCTATGTACAGTTGATCAAATAAAAGTCTTGGAATCAGTGCTGCAAAAACATGGAAAAATAAACAACCAAATGAAATGCTGAGAATAGCAATAAACTGCCATGTTGCGGTAAGAAAACTGTGACCTCATGCATTATACGTCACTTTATGTACTGTCCTGTCTTGAGGGTGAGGCAAATCTCTGTATATGGTGCTCTCCATCACTACTGGGGTACATCTGAGTGAAACCACAAGTAATACTGGCATAGAAGTAGTCCAATATGAAGCCAGCATGTGACTGAATAGTGCTTTAGATACAACTAAAAAGCACAACTGATTTCTAATATGCCAGCAACATACAGCTGTTTTTTGCTGACCTTGCCTAAACCAGACCCCAGTCTCGTAAAGTATTTCCACTCATGCATATACTTTGGTCAATTATAAATGCAAGGGAAAGGCCGTCTTTAACCCTGTGCATGCTGGAGAAGACTTTAATGAGATTAGGGGAGGGATGCACAGTAGTCTCTTTTACATTTGCTTTACGTGGCTGTAAATATGCTGCTTATCTGCTCTGCCCCTTATCATACATACATGCAGGCAGTGTGCATGTATGCAGTTCCACAGGCTCACTCTTAGCACACAGTAGAGAAGACAGGGGAAAAAATGAAAAACTAAGGAATACATTTCTATATGTTGAAGAGACGTCGATTCAAACAGGAAGTAGGGAGGTGGTGTGTGGAGCGAGCATGCTCTGCTGTGTTCCCTCCTCACTCCCCTTCTCTGTGGGTGTCTGTATGTGTGTGTGAGAGCAACAGGGGAGTGTGGTGAGGCCTATTAACAGACGAAGTGGTAATAGGCAGGGGGAGCCAGGATGTGTCTAAGCCACTGACCTGCCCATTAGCTCTCTCCACTCCGCTAAGCCCTCACATCGATCACCCAGCCACACATCATTGATCTGGAAAACCAGGCACGAGCGCACCACTCAGACATACCCTCCGTTTCTCAAGCCTCTCTTTTGCGCTGTGTGTGTGTGTGTGTGTGTGTGTGTGTGTGTGTGTGTGTGTGTGTGTGTGTGTGTGTGTGTGTGTATGAAGAAGAGAGACGGATGATGCGTCTGCATGTGTGGGAGGGGGTTGTAAATGTGTGTGACTTTCTACGTGTGCACTAACCTGTGTGCTCTTGTGTGGTTTATCTTTATGGATGTTAGACAAGCCCCCGGGTCTGGGTGGACATACACATTCACAGACACCTTTCATTAAACATGCAAAAGGGCAAAGGAATTTAAAAGCCTGCTGTTATATCATTCTTCCAATTATTCAAATAGATTCCACCTTCCCACCCCTCTGCTGTGTATAATTAACAATGTACACTCCTCGATTAACCACACTGGCATAAGCTAATTGTCAGCTGTCATTCTGAATGTTGTGAGACAGACACCCTAAACCCCTACGCACACACCCACACAAACACAGACGAGCAAAACAATTTATGACGTTCATAAATGTTCATACAATTGTGTGAATATGTATTTCTACACTTAGTACACCTCCATTTCTTGTTAAGCGGGATGCAGGTCCCGCTCTAAATTCAGCAGAAGTTAATAAGAGCTGAATGTTTATGGGTAATACCTCAGCTGCTAATTAGATCAAATTGTTCCCACCTCGCTGTTATTGTAGATATGAAACCTCTCTGCCTGTTCCTTTAGATTCAGCAGCAGACAGAGGTACAACAATATTTATTTTCTGATAAAGAGACAAAGAAACCAAAAGAGAGGGATGAAGGCAAAGTACCAGGTTAAAGGCATTATCATTTTACTGTGATATTTACAGCAGAAGGGAATAGTAGAGGGGGAGGGGGTACAGAGGGAGGGCGGGAAGGAAATTAAACGGAGCATCCAAAGAGAAAGTGTGGAAAGGAAAGCGCTGGGATCAGTACAGATGGAGACATGCATGCATGTCAGGCAGCAGCAGATGTGCTCGTGTGTTTCGGAAGAAATAGCGAGAGGAAATAATAATTAATAAATAGGAAGATAGAAGAGGTGCACGGTGAAGAATTGTGTCTGAGCCGTTTTTACATATACAAACACAAACAAGCGTCTTGTAAATTTATGCAAATGCATTCTAACAGACAGCACAACAATCACTGGTACTATAGCGCCGTAGGTTGCCATACAAAAGACAAAAAACACAAAACATTGATATAGATGAATCAGCCTTTAGCTCAGAATACTTTACTCCAAGCTTTGAGGTGACACTCGGTTTGAAAGTAAGCTGTGATACCCCTTGTTTTTAGTTTGTATGGATTCAAACGTAGGAATTATGTAAAGGAGTTTGACCCATTTGAATGAAAGAAGACTGCGAGTGCTATGTCTAATTACAAATTCTTTTGCGACCTGTGTATCACTTTTTAAATGCAACATAACCTACTAAAAGCTGGAATCTTTTTCTCATTATCCCCACCCTCTTCCATACACCCACCCCGCTCTCCTCTCACCCACCCCTGTAAACTTGTGCACCCTCAAACAGATGGCACAGGGATGATGAAAGCCAAACCAGTTATTTATCTAATTATGACTTAACACTTAACAGCATAATCTCCCCCTGCAATTGTGAGGTATTCAAATAGGGGTGATTAAGGGGGTTATGCAAATCTAAACAAAATGCCTGCAGTGGTGTTAGTACGAACAAACCAGCATGTCCACTTGAATGATCCTAATATAGACACGCTGCTAAGTTTTTAAGTGCTGTTTCTCAGATTGTTATGGTCAACGTGTCCACAAATGTACAGTATACCATGATATATGGAGCAGTAAATGTACAGGAGATGAATAAACGGAGAGAGAGAGAGACAGAGAGATTTGGCAAAAGCCAGGGTGAATTCAAGCCCATGCTAATAGGGTAATTGCATTGATTTCCATTTAGCTGCACTCTCTGATGTTATTTACAGCATTTAGCCCGGCAAACAAGCCCTCTCTCCTCTCTCTGCTCTGGGTTTGCTTTTAACCAGCTGTGACATGCTGTCAACCCCTTTTCCTCTGCCCTCTGTCCCCTTCACCCTTTTCACAACTGCCAAAAAGCCAAATACATTATTAGGCCATTAATACCAGTCATGCTTACACATCCCTCCAATCCCCCTCCCTCCTTATTTATTCCAGTATTGCAGTTCCTCCCTCCCTCTCGCTTCTCCTCTCAGGCCTGCTGGCATGGCCGCTGAGCTGCTTTGAAGTGCCCATGTTTATCCATTTGGTCTGAGATGTGGTTGTGCGTGGTGTGAGGTGGTCAGAGGGTTTTTTTTTACCACCCCCCTCGACGGACCAAATGTCAAGGTCTTCCAAGCGTTAAAGTCAAATCACGATTTTCACTCAAGGTGTTCTGGAGGCTCCCATCGCAGCTGAGATGCACCTCCTCAAAAAGTTGTGGTAATAGCTGGTGCAAGAACTGTTTGTGCTTCTGTCCGATTTGCTCTCTGTATATTTGCTACAAGCATCGCTACCTGATGCTGAAGATCTGTTGTGCTAAAGTAAAAGAAAGTCTTGTTTTCATAATGCTAGTCAAAGCTGGATTCCTGTAAAACAAAATGCATGAGGAAATGTAAAAATGATAATGGGGCTTGTGCTGTGACAGATGACGGATTCAAATTCGACAGCCTATAGGAGTCTGTGTCTTTTCTCACCTGTCTCATTTGTTTCACACAATAGACTTACTATATGAGGAAATGAGTGTGAGAAAAAGGGCTGGCACTTTATTAGCATGCAGCAGACAGAGCATTGTATTAGTGCTGTATTAATGTGGTGGTCACGTCTGGGACACAGACAGACTGCATTAAGCTCATCATCCCTCTTCTGCACACATCAAGGACTCAACCAAGACCTGCAAGCTACCAAAGTAGTTAAGGAGCAACAGGATTTGTGGAACATCTCCAGCCACTGATTTTTGTGCTTTAACACTGCGGGAGGATATGCGGTCGCTATGTTATTATAAGCATAATGTATATAAGAGTGTACTGTGCGTTCAAGGTGAGCATATGTGTTCTGAATCTTGTATTTGTATAGAGCTTCCTCACATATGACTCACTTCATTCACTTCGAAGGACTGCGTAGGTGGCATAGTGGCTTCATATTAACACCACAGAAACACTAGTGTGCGTGCAATACATATATGTGAGTTCAGCATATGACATTAAAGCTTACCTAAAGCATACTGCAGTATCATCAGTTCCTGCACATTTTGTCATTCCCTTTCCCTGAACGTAGCAATGTTAGCAGGGTTGTAGCGCTCCAAGCCAAGTTCATCTGCATTCAATTTCACAAAGGCAGGAAAAGGCCAAGAAGACTACCAGCGGTCATCCACTGAATATGCTGTTTGCAGGTGTTGTAGCCTTTACTCAGTAAATTAAAGATGTTACAGTCAAAGGCAGAGGTAGTAAGATACATTTCTTTATGCTTGCTCTCTTTACTTGCTCTTTTACCACCTCTTATTATTTCACTGACTGTTGGAGGTCTATTAGCATCCACCATCCAGTCAGTGCAGCCATCTTTCATATCTACCAGTTCTCTTCCCTTGTGTCTCTCTTTGAGATTTTGAATTAGCTTAGATAATAAAGAGGAACACAACAGAAAAATGATTATGCTTTATAAAGAGACACAAGGCCCACGGTGAAGCATCATGTGCCACTGCTCCAAGTCCTGCTAAGACAGTGCTTTTACGAAGAAAACGGTGGTGTGAGAGCAAGTGAAAGTAAAGATCATTATTTTGCACTTTGTTTAGGTATGTTTTTCTCCCTTGCCTCCACTACTTTCTTTCTCCCTGGGGTTCAAACTGCAAAAGTGAGCACCCTACTATAAGACGATAAGGAAGGCTAAGGCGCTTGTATCCTTGCAGAACACAC